TTTAATTATTTCTGTCATTATTGCCGTATGCGATGGAGTATGTCTTACAGATGAGAAAGGAGTAATTAAAATTGACTTTTCAATAAAACGAATACATCGCCAATCTTCAGTTTTAACACCAATTATTGAATATTCCTCTAATAACAATGAATCTCATTCAATCAAAATTGAAAAACTCATAAAAAAATATGAAAGTATTATTCAAAAATCTTTACCTTCGGATAGTTCAAGTGATGTTGTCGATAGTTTTATTGCCTTAATTTGTTTGCAAGGAGTGTTGCAGCCATTGATTTATGAAAAGTATGATAAATATGAAGGATTATCACTGGCACTTAATAAATTAAAACGGACATGGTTCTATATCAAAGAATCCTATAAAAACTGTTTATCAAGTAATGATGAATTGCATAAGATATCTTTCATACAATCTGAAGTTGAAATGATCATGTATGAGTTCTTTTTACAACTTGATCAATCCGATGAAGAACAAACATCATTTTTAATTGCATGTGCATCGGCATGGAAAAAACTTGGTATACGGAATCAAACTATATGGATTGACAGAGACAATTCTTATGACAATGAGGATAACGAATATTTTCAATACCAATCACCATTTACTCATGTGATTAGCAAAAAAATCTAGATGAGATAATAAATACTAGTGATTCACAAGAAATATTACACAGAAAATTATTGTTCTTGCTTAATATACTACCACAATCTCTACAACAATTGTATTACAATGCAATCATATCACCAACTAATAATACCAATTCATTATTACTAGTTATGTTCTTATCCGAATGCTTAATCCATTTGGAGCATTTTGAAAAGATTGATTTTGATATATATCTCGCCTTGATAATGTTGTATCCTTTATTGAAAGAACACATGTTGGAAAACTATGCTTTAATATTTTACAAAGAAACATGTTCTCGGTTGACGTCAATCATAGATAAAGATTGTAATAAATTATGGAAAATGATACAACATCATAAACTACTTGATCCATTTCTTACCAATCAATCAGAAAATTTGGCGATACTCATCAGTGTAGAACGTCAGCGTATTTATGAAGCAAAAGAATCAATTCAAAGTCAACAGAAAGATTTGCAACTTTTTGCTGCATCCATCTCTCTTGCTCGACTTTTACAAGCACAACATCACTGTCATACATACCATTTAAAAAATACTTTTCTTATCGATTCTACGGATAGCACAGCAATATATTTTACAGTAACAAATATACATGATCGAGTTTTAAGAATCTTTGCTTTAAGCTTTATAGTAGATATGAAAGATCCATTAATCTTTGATGAAGAACAAAGAGATCAACTGCAATGTGCAATGATTACTGAATTACAGTCTCTGCTCCCACATGTCTCATTACTAACAGGAACTATTTTATTCACTCGATGTTACACTTTATGTTCTGAACAGATGACTCGTGTAATCGCTGAAAAATTTAATGATGAGTCACTTAATGAACAAAGTCAAATTGGAGAAGCAGTATTCATTGCATTGAGACAACTCAAGAATTCAAATCTTTCACATTGTTTATCAGAATTTGCCAAACGAAAACATAATTTATCTGATTTGCTTCAATTGAATTCAACGATATTTTATCATCATTTTAATAAAACAACATCATTTATTTCATCAAATAATGTTCTTCTATCGTTGATGTATCTGTTTGAATTGATCTTTGATACTGAAATTCTCAGGATGTATGTAAGAGATGATCAGAAAAGGGATATTTTACCTTTGAAAGAACTGAAACAATTTTGGAATGAATCATCAAAAGATGGGAAAATTATGACATACAAGCTTGCAACATGGATTACGAATAATTTGCATATGTTAAATAAACAAGAGCTTCATCTGATTATACAAGATATGTGTAAGTGCTCAATGATTGAAAGAAAAGCTCTGTCAGTGATTGAGAAATGGCTCGACTATCGAATGAATAAACTCCTGAAGGTTTTTGCACACTATGCTGCATTACAATTGTTTATTGAAGATTCAAATATTCCAGATTTGATCGATATTATAAATGAAATGTTTTATATGGATAATAAATTTATTTGGGCATCAATTATAGAAAACTTAATTAACTCTCCACTTGTTAATTCAAGTATTGTTCGTCAAATTTTAATTACGTTACATGAAAATGTTCATTGTTATTCAAACTTTTCTGTTTCGATTTCTTGTAAAGAAATGTTTGAATTATTTCTCGATTTAGAACTGAAAAGAGTTATTTCAAATGTACATGAATCATCTAAAATTTCATTTAATTCATTTTTATCAATGATTCGTTATTGTTCAGGAGATTTAAATTTTTATCTTGTAGAAAATTTTCGCTCGTATTTAAATTTTCAATCTGAATTAGAAAATACTATCAAAGATGAATATTTTGCTGTTGTTATCAAATGGATGAATAAAACTATAACTTCGTATGGTAACGATGATTTTTTGATAGAATTATACAAATACATTGTTACACTACCAGATCTTAAACAATTTCCTCTAGTTTGCAAAGTAATTGTTAGTGCTCTTAATAGAAAATATAATCATTTTTTTTCAGAAAATGAGAGGATATTTTTACAGGATGATATAATTACTGAGTTGGAGAAAATGATTTATTTTTCGTACACAAATTCAGAAGATGTTTTAGCTGTTTGTTTACTGGCTTATGGTAATTGTTTAATTCAATATCATGAATTAGAAATAAGTCGAAATATATCAGATGAAATGAAAAATATTCTTACTAGTATTTCTGAAAGATCGTCATCAGAAGTCACTTCTATCAGAGCTCATTTCTGTTTATTGTTTATCGAATCTTCAGATATAACCTGTCTGACAGTATTGAAGTGGTTTAGAAACAAGTCAAATATGACATCGGAAAAGCGATATAAAATATTGTTACAAAAAACATTATATTGTATGAAGGATTCGTCACGTACCATATTTGTTGATGAAATAATTGATAACTTAAAAACACATTCTACAGAGCTTATTGATTTATTTGTCATTGATCTATACAATTATTTGTGTAACAGAGATAAACTTGATTATCTTTCTGACCATACGCCTAATTATATCGGCACAGCAGGAGATATCAGTAGTAGCAATTTGAATGAATTTCGAAATGCTATTCAAAGAAGTTTCTTTGGTGAAAAAAAGTTCAAAAGAGAACTTTATCTCTGTTGTAAAAGATATCCACATGACAGTGAACCATTAATAAATCTTTATGCAAGTTTTGGTACACTCACAATTGATTTAGTAGAAATGTGCGAAGAGTATACAGATTATTTTCTTTTTGGCATTGAAAAAGGTCCAAATTTGAGTAAACTCAAAGATGTTGATCGAAATGTGATTGACGAATTGTTTCATGTTTTAGATTTGAAAATGTATGATAGAAAATTCAAAAGTGCCTTATGGATATTGAAATATCTTGCCAATAATCATATGATATCTTTGTTAGAAGTGCACCAAAGGATTTTACTTATCAATAATATCTTAGATTGTGACGAACATCAGCTTTGGAAGAGTGAAGAATATATTTTTGATTTATTATTGAACACTAGTTGTTTTAACCAAGGAGTTTTTTCCGATTTTAATAAAATATTTTTTACTAAGAGTGATATTGATGAAGAATTCGAAAAAGTAATTGATTTTCTTGACAAAAAGGTAATTCTCTTTGTCAGAAGAAATCACTTCTAAACACTTTTTCCAATAGGTTGAACTAAGAAGGTCATTTTGTATTTCTCTAGCAGATTCTTGCACCATTACATGTTTCTTCTTCTTTAGTACATATCATTGTTATTTAGAATACTGTTTACTGCAAGATTGTATCTCTATCCAGTTTAATTGTTCATTGTCGTTAAGCTTTTTTTTTTTAGTGTGATTTCCTCATTTTGAATCGTCTTTATTTTATGTATGGAGGTTTTTGGTTTGTGTTTAATATATTTTCATTTCGACAAAATAAAAAGATTGGTAAGAGTTAGTGCTCAGCGTGACTCATGAGTGTTATGACTTAGGGTAGTCACGAATGCTAAAGTCCTCATTTATCTTATATTGGTGCAAATTGCAGTAGGGATATTGGGCGTATGTGGATGTTTGTCTCTTCTTTAACCACACCCTCGAACGCATGAACCATGTCTCTGTTTCCATTCAAACTTTATTGTTCGAATGACGTGAAAATGATCCCAGCATCGAAAACCAAAATCTATGACTAAATTCGATCATAAAATAGGCATGAGCTAATCATCAGAAATTTCTCCTATCTCTACAACATTACTTTATCATCATAGTGAAGAAAATTCTGTTGATCTTCGCACACTCAAGTATGATTGGTAATAATTATTGTTAGATTGAAGTTTTCACCAATAAAACGAAAAATACTAATTTTGAAAGTACCATTCATGTTTCAGGTTTTTTTTGCATATAATGTATTTCGTCTCAACGTTGTATTCGTCAATGATAACATATCAAGTAAGATGTTTAGTTACGACAATACTAAATGTTAGTATTTTGATTTTACTAAGAATCTTGTCAAGTGGCAAGCATTTGAATAGATGATCTAAAAATTTCAAAAGAAATTTTCAAGTCAACAGTTTTTTATAGAATCAGTGGTGCCAGATGTTTGCTTTTTTAGAATTCTAAGCCATAGGGGAGATGTGCATGGAAGAAAGTTTGTTAGTACTGGAAGTTATTTTCGTTTGTAGGGTTATGGTTTCGACTCGTAGCATGCTGTAAAATGCATACTATGGGCTATTTAATTTCAGTCTGAATTTATCAAATAAAAATAATACTTGATTTCAAACTGAAACGTGAGTCTAGGAGTGAGGGAGGGGGGTGACTGAGGGTGTGGGTGTTGGTCTGGGACCCACACACACACCCACACTCATGGTGCGGGTGTGGGCGCGCGAGTGAGGGTGAGGGTGTGCTTGTGGTTTTGTGTACTATAGGCTTTAGTCCCCTGCACAAGGGACTAAGCGGGGACTAAGCTTTTTGTGGGGGGGACTAAGGGGGACTTTGCAGGACTAGGGGGGACTAAGGGTTTTTAGTGAGACTACGTAGTATCAAGCGAGAAAAGTTTGATTCGGAAGAAATTGGTGTGGTTTTTTTGATTTTGGAATTCAGTTTGAAATAAAAAAGCCCATAGACTCGTAAAATGTGGGATGTGGATGTGAATGTAGATGTTTCAGTTACATCGATGGGTGTGAGTGTGGGTGTTGGTTTGTGAGTTGATGTGGGTGCTGTTGAAAGAAGACTAACACCAGCACCCATACCCACACCCACATCCACCCCTCATCGATCGAGATCAGCATGTTCTCGAATAATCAATAGTCAAAAAATAGTTTAGAAAAGAAATTTTTTGAAAATGTATGTTTGGGGTGTTCAATCATGTTGTTTATATACGGCTCTGTATGCATAAAAAAACGGTGAATGACTAGTCAGCATGTAAACACACCAATGATGTCGCTGTTTGTTTTACTCAAGATCTTGTGAGAAGATAATAGTAAACGATGTCTTTTCCATGATCTTGACAAAATCTTAGGTACAGATTTATCTGATACAACCAAGATATACACATACAAATTATCTTTTCAAGATCTTATCAAGATCTTGCTTATCGGTCCTAAGATTTCAAGATATTGCTTACAAGATGTTCGACTAGAGTATAGACTTTAATCGATGAAAAATTTTGGAGGCGAAATAACCAAGAATAATCGGTTGCGGAAAATGGATGATTCCCCGAAAAAAATGGGATTTTAACACCGATAATCAAAATTAATCTTGATTTTCTTATGAATATTTTTCGCTGGGTATGAAGGAAAAGATATGCGTTTATGAATATACTTTGGCAAAGTTTGTACAACAACAAATAAGTGACAAGACATGTCGGTTTCTTAGATATAAAGAAATGATGCATAAAAGTACGAGTAATAAGAGAACAGAAACAATTGACAGTAACGAAATTCTAACTACACCATCAAATGATAAGCCACAGACTGCTTGTCCATCAATTATTTTCAAATCTTTGTTGTTTTCTGTTAAACAATGGGGAAACGAGTGTTTCTGAGGGAAAACGGATAGACTCGGTTTCGTCTTGTTCTAATGTTCACTGGCAAATTAATCAACGTCGACCAAACTTGTTCGCGAAATCTTTTCGAGGATGCACAGTAACAGTAGAATGAACTCTAAAAACGTACAAAAAGCAAGACATGTGTGTGAGTAAGTGTTATTCTAACTCACGGAAAAAGCACCATAAAAGTAAATGGTAGAAAAGGTGGACACCACTTGTTCCTGAGCAAGACGAGAGGGTGTCTTAGCAAGACCGGTCGTGAGCAGAACGTATAATTGAATGATCCCATAAGGGGTTACGAATATAATGACAATGACGATATTGTACAACGACATTCGAATCATTTGTCGAACGAGAGTAGAAGGAGTACGCCGCTGTTGTACGTTGATCGAGTGTATATTACAATAGACGAGCAGACCGAAGACAGACATTATTGAAACTGGAATGACGACATAAAGGTAAAGATTGATAAAATACAGTTGATATTGGTTATAGACCGCATTCATAGTGTTACATGTACTAGCTCCCGTCGCTGTTACTACCAGATCTTGGTAGAAAAAGAAGGGCAACGAATGCAGAAAGCCAAAAGCAAGAATCCCAACCACAATACGGCGTGCACAGTTGATGTTGCTTTTTTGACGTAGAAAGACTGATGAAGAAGAGCAAAGAAAAATGTCGATTGACTGCACAGAGAGTAGGCTGAATGAGATAATATTGTTCGCGGTAACCCAGCACCGTCGTAATTTACACCATGATCGATTAATGAGAGCCCAATCGATCTGAAAGCCTGCAGCCAGAATACGTGTGCCGAGTCCAACAATTAGAGCACTTATATCAAGTAACGCTTTAGCGAGCATGTAAAGTGAGCAAGGATTGTGCTTGTAGTGACCTATAGAGAAGAAGGTGATCACGTTGAGAAAATTACCGAGAATACCAATGACGAACAAGAAAAATCCGGATGACTGACTGAGACAGCGCGATATAAATTGCAGTTCAACGACAAATGAAGAGCCGCTATTAGTGGTGCTGTTTGATGCCATGTGAATAAGTGCTTTGAATTCTGTAACCAAGAATCTAGAAAAACAGAGAATAGGTATGAATACACTATAGAAGTTCCAATGTGTTTTTCTGCTTCACTAACGTCATCTATGGCAAAATTCGCCTATTTTTCTCCATAAAAAATGATGACACACATCTTGTCAAGTCATGACTGAAGAAAGGCAGCATGTTGCTTCAGCAGTTTCTCTCATTTACACACCGTTAACAGGAGACTTAAGCAAAGGCATTATTGAATCTGTTTGCAACAAAAAAAAAGTTGACTTCTCATAATGTCGATGTGCGGAGTTCAAAAGTATTCAAAACTAGATTGTACGCTATACTAAGTAGTTCTAGATAGATTGTAGCTAATGAAAACTTAACGCACACTGTCAACAGAGATCATAATAATAGTACACGTAAAAAACTCTTTTTTTACTCCCATTTCACATTTGTACGTGAGATCTGTAATGCTTCCTGTTTCAGTATCATAAGATCAATATTTCTGATTATTTTTGAAAAATTTTCATTCAAATCTGTGGAGTTAGCATCGTCATCTAACATAAAACAGAACTGATAAGAAGAAACGCGTTCTCAGCTTTGTTGCATAGATTTGTTATTATTTTAGTTTTCATTAAATGAGAGGCTATGGAAAGCGCAATGATTAATAAGTACTGAGGGAAACTAAAAAGGTTGGTTGAATTAAATAAATTCTCAAATCGACATTTAATCAACTTTTTTCTTTTCCGCTAGATCAAAGAGAGCAGTCCTACATTTTGTCGTAGGCATTGTACAACCAAGAGAATAAGTCAAATATCTTTAATTTTTTATGACACTAAATATATCATTGTATCTTAAATCTTGTTAACAAACAAAAAGTTAACCATTTAATGCTTAACATAGCAACATCGCATTTTTACAGGCAGCCTTACCGTGTTCAAAATCTCGCATGCATTAGAAGTAGTGAAAGTTGTTTTAGAAACTGATAAAAAGGCACAGATTTAGAGAAAATTAATCGTTTTAAAAGTTTCATATGTTCTTATTACATTTGAACGTGCGTTTTTTGTAGTATCTTGTTTATCTAGCTCTACGATTGTTCAAACATTTGCGAATTTTGAAAATAGATTAAAGCATTTATCATCAATGGGATGAAGAGAGATTATATCAATGAACACTGAAATATACAAAGAAAGCTCTCGTATCTGTGCTATGATGGAGAAAAAGGAAGTCTTACCGTCTAAGTAGGTGGCCTATGCAGGTATAGCAGCTCTTTCATCAATGAAACTATCGTAATTTTTTCTTAGGTTACAAGGTCAAAGCCATACGATACTCTTCAGATGACACCAGCGCACACACGTTTGAAAAATCTTTTCTCTACTGCGTACTGTTTGGCAACATCATTTGCACTTCACATTTTTGAATGAACACTCCAAATAGCTTCATATTACAACGACAGAATTACCGAAAACAGACAATTGCCATCAGCTATTCGATAATGAGATACACTGGGTTCTATTCATGCTCCGCTCTATACGAATATCTCTATGTAGCGAAAAACTGGTTTGAGTAGCGTACCACCACTCTTGGCAATGATGTTTATTTAGCTACTTCACATCTTTAGAATGTCACCACTTCAATACAACATACGCTTATATAGAAAAAAGCAAGAGAGATAGACAGAGAAAAGAAGAATTATGATAAAGAGGAAGGAGAAAAAGAAGATTAGTGTGGCTTATATCGGCTATGTCAAAATTGTGAACAAAAAATCAAGCCAAATAATACATATGTGATCGCAATTTGGAACAAAGAGTTAATGTTGATCACTTTTTTTCCATTTCCAAATTGCGATCACTTTGATTAATTAGTGATTTCAAGATTCAACTATGAGTTCTATTCTCTTGACAATATTAATATGTGTCGTGGAAACGAAAAATCACACTACATATCAAACTATGGATACAAATTTTACTCAGTCAACAACCGGAAAAGGTAAAAATGTTATTCTATATAATAATTACCTTTATCGATTACGACGTGAAAATCAAAATGTTTCATTAACCTATGTCTGTACTTTCAAATGATGTTCTCGCATTATTACTTTCAAAAACAATGTAATTATTAAAAAAATAGTGAAAATTATCATCATGATGCGAAATTATCGGAAAATACTCGGGCCGTGTTTTGGGGGTTGAAACGTCGAATATTAGCTGATATAGACCAACCTGTTACAAAACTTTATAAAGACGAAGTAAAAAAATTGGTAAGTACTTGTTTCTTTTATTTGCACAGCATATAAACGATTACGTTTGCCGTATTTAGCGTCTTGAAAATGGTACAGCTAGTCCAATTACAGTCTTTGATGCATGGTAATCAATCTTATACTCGATTCGTAAAACAATATTACCTCCAACACCAAAATATTTGTCGACAATTATAATTCCTGATGATATGTCTTATAATAATAATGGTGATGGAACATTCCGATCTTCACCTGCATTATTTATTGAATCATATTATATAGACATGTATGGGATGAATTTGGTATGAAACCAATAATTTATTCATGATGTCAAAAAAAGTCAGAAGAATCTTACCATGAATTACTTCTATCATTACTTACTTATGCAACAAAAAAAATGTTATATTAAATCCGTCATAAGCCTTAATAGATTTCGAACAAGATATGATAAATGCCATTAATGAGATGTTCTCACAAGCATTAATTAAAGGATGTCACTTACATTATGCTCAAAATATATGGAAAACAGTTAAAAAGTATCATTTAGTAAAATTATCAGAAGAAAAAAAATATTCGTCGCCAAATAGCTAATATTATTGCATTACCTTTAATACCTCTGAGTGAAGTTAATAATTGTATGGAAAAAATTATTAATGAACTATGTAATTATGATTCAAAATTAGATAAGTTATCTGATTATGATATACAAAATTACGCTGAATAAGCTCGATTTTCTATACAAATGTGGAATCATTTTGATACTATTGGTGAAAGACCACGCACAAACAATCACCTGAAAGGTTATCGTCGACAATTAAGTGCCAGGGTTGGAACAAATCCTGATCTGTGAACCTGAATTAATGAAGTAAAATCATCTGAAGAATCTGTTATGTGTCTTTATGAAAAAGAACAATCAGACCAAAAAAAAGGAAAATATATACAAGATAAAGATTTTGATGCCTACCAAAAAACTTTACGAACTGTTTCTCATCGTTACATCCACATTAGAAAAGATGCAAAAGATATTAGTGAGAAGGATTAATTTTTTTCGTATTTGTTTATTTTCTCAATAAATATTTCTTTTTTAAATAACACTGTTAATTACTCGACACGAAAAAAAGTGACCGCAATTTGGAAACGAAAAAAAGATATCAGTGTTATCTCTCTGTTCCAAATTGTGATCACTGATGTGTTAATTAGCTTCATTTTTGTTCACAATTAGGCAGCTATGGTTATATTCATATCGGAACACTGTATAATTCGAGTTCGGATATAGATGAGATGTTTGGAATCAATGAAAAAATCCCAATAGATAAAAGCAAAAGATAAATTTTTTCTAACTTAGAATCATAATTCAGATACGCACGTTATTATCACTACGACAGAAAAAGCCAAAGATTAGCGGTATCGACTTACCATTAACATTGCATTATTTAATATTAATTTAAATACTTCTGTATTACAATTACAAAAGCAATTGAATACTTTGTCATTAATGTTGAATTACAATACTTAGCACTAATCCTAATTCAATACTAATGGCAAAGTATTAAATTATTTTTGTAATTTTAATACAAAAGTATTAGCGTTTTTCTAATACTGATGCTAAGCCGATATGTCTACCAAAGACAAACTTTATCTAAATTATAATTACAAGTCCAATAAACTATATTTTACTATTCTCCCGTAGATATGATAAAATGTTTATCTGAATGATAAAAGTGTAGATAAATTTTATATTCTGCTTTTGCTCTTATTGTAATACCAATAGAGTTTATGCAAGACTATAATAATCTCATGAATTCAAGAGTTGTTCAATCAAGTCATTTATTAAAATTGTATGATTCGAAAACAATTAAATATATAATTTGCAAACATCAAGTTCGAAGTATTTACTGAAGTTTTGTATGTTAGATTACAAAGAAAGCTTTAAATATCCACTTAATCGATTAAAATCGACTACAGTTGTTTAATTATGTTCACTGATTTTATTCATAAATATATTATTAATATTAGATTATTCGCCACGTAAATGTCTACAACTAAAACTAAAATTAAATTAAGTTTGTGCTATGCTGCTCAATTTTTAACATCATCTATTCTTTACTAAACATCGAAATGAACTAAACTTTTTCAATTCAAATTCAGTCAGTTTTAAATAAAGAAACATCATTAGTGCGTTATCGAAATCGATTAAAAATCAAAATATATTGTAAGTTTTTTGCAACAAAAAGAGAATGGAAACAAACACCGAAGCACAAGACGAAAAAACACTACGCAAACTTATTAACAATACAACAAATACGATTTTTATTAACCCTTCACCGTTTTTAACGAATATATTCGTTAAAGCAATCTTTATGAAAAAAATGACAACTACAACTCCTTGACTCTGTTTTTTTATATGCTCTGTATCGACTCTAATATCTTGCACTGGCTGGAGCTCATTGTACTGGTTCTAATGTTCATATCGGTTATGCACTCTCTGTATCAATTGCATAACTATTCGTATTAATTGTGGGCTTGCTCTTTAATTGATATTATTATTGAATCGACTCTTACTACTATATTAAGTGTGCTATTTTGACGTTGATTGTAACAGCCTGACGAAATAATAGTGATCAGCACAAGCATAATCGTTCACGTAGAGGGTGTGGGTATTCACTTCAAGTACATCAACTCCCACACCCACATCCGCATGGACAATGATGCAAAAAAAAGTAAAGTTAATTTACAACGATTTTGTGAATTTTTGTGAATGTGCTCGGTACTGAAGTTCGTGAGAAGAACTAGTGACAGTACCGAGAGCTCGAGCTTCATTATCTTTTAGTGCAAACAATTTTTTCATCAAAATAAAACATAGATAAAACAATCGAGTCAATAACATGCAACTTTTTCGTCATAAATACGTAATTACGTTGTTATTTTGATATTTTTGCCATGACAGTTGTTCGGTAGAATCTGGTGAATTAGATATGTTGAGTAGACGCTTGAAATAATAAAAATTACATATTTTGAGTTATTTCAATGATGCCGAGCACTTCAAATAAATCACAGTAGTGAATCCAATAGTTTGGAAAATAATTACAAGTATCTGAGACAGTTAGAGAGCGCTATTGCTTTATTTTCAGTAATTGTTTTCCTGGTCTTTTTGCTTTTATTATATTTTTTTCTGATGTATGCATCTCTGCGAGACAAGTCAATAGTAGAAAGCTCAGAATCCTTACAAGATAAAGTTGATTCTACATATCTCTAATACAGTAGTACGTCTTTTCTCTCTTGATTGTAATGTATTGTTTGCCATTGCCAATGAAGAGAGAAATACTTTTAATTATGAAAACAAAAATATAAAAGAAAATTTTGTGCGCTAAATTTTTCTTGTACTTACACAAGAAAGTCAACATCAATAGTTTTGTCTTTAACTACTACATATCTCTGATTTGTTTTTCGGCATTTTTTGTTCAAGTTGTTCAGTATATATAGATATAAATCATAAACTTGAATCAGTTTAATCTATGACTATTATTGATTTTGTTTCAAATGAGAAGGAAAAAAAAGAATACTTCATACACCAAAATTTTTTCGTTCACAGAGAAAACAAAAAGTATTTGCACACCGCAAACACGATTAAATAATTAAAAACAAAAAGAAAAAAGTGAACAAAGAATTGACTATCTTATAAGAGATAAAGAAAAATACAATTGCACATACATTCACATAACCATAGTGGAGAAAGAAAAAATTTAATGATAGAAGTTCGATTTCTTACGGAAGACCAAGCGAAAAAAAAACAGTTAGTAATAATGAGATGATGCGTTTGAGATTGATATTGCTAATATGAAGATGATTATTCCAAAGTAGTGAGAGGTCCTTCGAGAAATAATTGACGAATATTTAATGATGCTGATAATTCTAATATCATTTTATGTACTAGAACATTTTCAAGAAGATCATTTGATAATTGTGGTTGAGATGATGGATAAAAACCAGAGCCCTAAATTTTTATTAAAGTATAAGTTTACCCTATTTTTTTTGGTCTTGTAAAAAATTTGAATTTATTAGACTAAATTAATTAATTTAGATTCTATCATAGTTGTGACTTTCATGAGTCACAACTCTTCGATTCAAAATTTAAATATTCTTTTTTTTACATACTACGACAATTACAATCGTAGGTGTTCAATCTAAAGTAAAATTTTTCATTGTAAATGTGTCTCTCATGTAAACACTCTGATACTTCTGCAGAAGTGTGTCTGAAAGATAGCCGACATATAGGCGGATCAGGCTGAGAAAAAGTTGTTTTCTAGTTTAAATTACCTTGAATGCTCGATGTAATCGAAGAACAGCATAACAAAAAACAAAACGAGCAAGAAATATTCGTAAGAACTCATCACCAAAAAAGTGATAGATCGTACCATCTAGAAGAAAAAATTGAACTTGTATTTGATAAATAAAAAAAATTAATTAAAATCTTACCAACAAGTTTTGATTTCAAAAAAATTCTTATTATTTCAAAAATAATTTTATTCACATTTTCTTGACATAAATTCCATTGTTCACTTGTTAATTCATTTAAATGACAAACAAAACAAAATGCAAAGGCTGGTGACGTTAAAAATAATGTAAATAAACTTCCTTTATTTTGATAATCTAAGCAAAAGATAAATAAATAAACAAAAGCTTTTTCTATATTTTCTTATGAAATATGGTCTAAAAAAAGGTGTTACAACAAAGAGATAGACTCTTGGACCACACTCTCCCGCTTTTTTCGGACGGATGAAGAAGTATCTTACCATGAAATACTGCTGGTATTTTAACAGGTGAAAGTAATGAAATTAATGGTTGTCCAAATAAATTTGGCATATTTTGAAATACAATACTATTATTACTATCAATTATTAAAAACAATGGTTTACGTAAAAATGGATATAAATCTCCTGGAAATATAGTATGAATATCTTTAATAGGAGTTGCTGTTGTTGCTGTTGTTGTTGTTGCTGAAGTTGATTTTTTTCCAAGAGTATTTGCTGGTGAATTTAAATTATCATTAACATCATCACGTCGATTATTAGTTTTAACACCACCAAAATCATATGAATGTGCAGTTTTTATTTTCATATGTGTATCATAA